TTAGGCTCACAAGTGGCATGGCCAGTTTTGGCCAAAGCTTTTTATACCTCACTCTCCCTGGAATATCAACTGGAATTCCTATGTTATTTTTATTATAACTCACACAATAATTCAACGAAAGTAAATTAAAATTGCCATGGAACATCCCTTTAGAAAAATTTGTCGCACTTCATTAAATCCATTCGCCACGCCACCAAAAGATAATTTCTGCACTTTAAATGATGCCCTCCTGTCATTTCCATCTTTTCATCTCAATCTTTTCAACTCTTATTTCCAGACATTAATTTTATTGATTCACTATCGCGCGCTCCAAACAGTTGTCTGGAGCACTTTTGATCTTCTCGACCGCAAAAACTTAACATTCAAATACATTAACGACTTAACCGAAGACTTACGGGTTATTTGCGAAACTTTTCATTTCCTTGCCTGGGGCTAAATTATAACGAACTTCCGAATAACGAATCCAGAGCGCAGAACACGCAGAGAAATGAAGGTGAAGTGAACTAAGAAAAAATAGAAAACACCTTCATTTCGCAGTTCATTTTTGTGCCGTAAGTTTTCTTCCTTCGTTTAGTTTTTTTCCCCCGCTGACTGACTGTCTGTCTATCTGTCTGTCGCTCGGTGGGTATTGATTGATATTGACTTCATAAAAGAGATGTGTCGATGATTTGTGAACAGCACTTGAATGTTTCTTCGTTTAAAAGTTTCCCTGAGTTTCTTTTGCCAACTTGGAGCAGAAGAAGAAGAAGTGGAAGAAAAAAAACAACGAACTGGAAAAGAATGTGTTTGCTGCATAGCTTCACATGTAAGCGGGGGGCAATGGGAGGAGGGTGGTATATTTTCTAGGTTGTTCATGTGATGAAATTGTGATATGCGAAAAAAACGTGACTAAACTTTTCTCTGCACTTTCGAAATCTTCGTAATGAATAATCAATGGAAAAATATTGGTATTGGTATTGGAATTTCTAACCCCTTGTTTTCCTAGTCTTCCGAAGATACTTCATTCCCAACTTTATAAATTGGAATTTTTCCCCGTAACGAAGTGAAGTTTGTGTGTGCGTGTGGGGGAAGGGGATAAAATACTAAATTAATATTTTAGTTTGATCTACGAGTTTTGTGGGAGAGTGAATCTCAAACGTTTTCATAAATCTGTTGGGATTATTTAAGAGGTATATTTCATTTGTTGTTTATTGCATTTTCGGGAATTTAAGAAGAGTTTGGATATATATGCATTCAAAATTTTATATACACATATTTTGTGGTTTTTAATAAAAATAAACAAGTAAAAAAGCTGTAAGTGTGGCCAGGCCGAACTTTGAATACCCTCCACCAATTGGAACGAGTTTGGCAATTCTCAAAAACAATAAAATCCGTTAAAACTTCTGTGAGAATCTTAAAAATACCGAATGTAGCTATTATATTGGGGTCTATCTATCTGTTTATAATGTAGATAATTTCATCAAAATACGGAATATATGGAGATACCATGATGGTTATAAAACGTCGATCTGCACAGACAATTTTCTGTCATAGGCTGTAATATCCATTACAAACTTCAAATGCGAAATTTGAAACAATTCTGGTAAATAATGTCGCTAAAATCATCAAAATACCGAATATAGGGGGGTACCGTTATATGGAGGCTATACGAAGACGTGGACCTGCACAGACAATTTTCTGTCACAGGCTGTAGTATTCATTACGAACTTCAAATGCGAAATTTGAAACAATTCCGGTAAATAATGTCGCTAAAATCATCAAAATATCGAATATCGGGGGGTACAATTATATGGGGGCTATACGAAGACGTGGATCTACATCGCCCATTTTCTGTCTTAAGCCGTACCATCGAACTTTAAATATTAATTTTGAAACAATTCCGGTAAAAAATGTCGCTAGAATCATCCAAATACCGCATATCGAGAGGTACCGTTATATGGAGGCTATACGAAGACGTGGACCTGCACAGACAATTTTCTGTCTTAGGCTGTAGTATCCATTACGAACTTCAAGTACCAAATTGGAAACATTTCCGGTTAATAATGTCGCTAAAATTATCAAAATACAGAATATCGGGAGGTACCGTTATATGGGGGCTATACGAAGACGTGGACCTACATGGCCCATTTTCAATACCAAAAGTCTTGCAGATATAGTACACATTTGAGTAAAATTTTATCAACCTACTTCATTTCGTTGGGAAGCTAGAGTGATTTCCACAGACGGACAAGCGGATAGACGGACGGATGCACGGACATTGATAAGTCGACATAGAATTTTATGCTGATCAAGAATACTTATACTTTGTTAGGTCTAAAATGTATATTTGGAGGTGTTACAAACGGAATGACAAACTTAATATATCCTGTATACTATGGTGGAGAGTATAAATATAAATAAGAACGTATTTGTTGTAATGCTTTATGCTATAGAGTATTCGTTTGCCTTCTGGAGCTTGAACAAACAAATCGATAGGTCTACCCACACGTGAACATGCCAGGAACAGCTGACCATGAGAAAATCAAGAACATGCTAAATTTAGTCCACATACACGAAGAGTTTGACCTTAAGATATAATAATCGGCCTATCAAATGCTGTGATGATATTAGGAGGATCCTAGGTAGTAATATATACAGGGTGAGATGAAAAAAAACTGCAACCAATTTCAGACTGCTGTCATTTCTAATCCACTCGGCCGACAGCTGTTAAAATTATTCCAGTGACAGCTCATTATATTCTTTACAATCGTACAAAAGCATTTTGGTGAGAATTTTTCTGAAAAAAAGTTATTCGCGATGGAATTTAAGCGGGATAGTGTGATTTCTTTATATTTGGCTGGAGAACTACAAGTGGCTACCGTTAGAGCACTCTAGCATTTAAATGTGAATAAATCGTTTGTGTCTCCTACCATCGCTCGTTACCGTGATACTGGTAGCGTAGCCCGACGCCAAGGAAGTGGACGGAAGAAACAACAAAATTAGCAGAAATGTTTCGAAAAGTAAAGAAGCGATGGTCGCTCTCCGCTCGTATTAATCGACCGTGGCATCAGAAAAAAATCCGAATGCGTGGACATGCTAGGAATAGCTGAGCATGAGAAATGCAGGAACATGTCAAATTTAGTCCGCATACACGAAGGGTTTGTCCATCGGATTTATTAATTTCATAGCAACTGCCAAGAGATCTCTTGCAATTAGAGAATACCCAAGAATTCGAGGTTGCAACACAATTCCCCGTAAAAATCGTATCCTCAATAAAATTGTTGTGTAGTTTTTTACTGTTAGCTTAATACAATTGCAAAGGCGTTGTGGTCCATGCTTCTTAACAATGCTTCCAATCTTAACCTTGGCATCAGAATAAATGCCGAATATTATAGCGAAAATATTCTGAAGGGTGTATTAAAGCCTTGGGCATGCAAACATTTTGGCCGCAGACCTTAGATATTCCAACAGCACTCAGCACCATCGCACTCAGCATGCGCCAACCAAGAATGGTTACTAAATAAGGTTCCTCGCTTCATTTCCAGCGCACAATGGCCACCAAAATATGCGGATACCACTCCGTTGAACTATTGTGTCGGGAGTATTTTGGAAAGCAAGGTTGGCGCTAAAAAATACCAAGGTGTCGATCACCTCAAGCAAGCGCTTCGCCGAGAATGAACCAAAATACCGCAGAGCAACATTCGGGTAGTGTGTGACGGTTTCATTGGCCGTTTGAAGGCCATAATTCGTGCCAAAGGTGACCAATTCGAACAAATCTAAATTTATTCTAAAATTTAATGCTATTTCAGACATTTTTTGCTTTCATTCAATAAAATTAGGAAAAAAGAAAAAACTTTAAGTTCGGCAGGGCAGAACTTTTAATACCCTCCACCTTAGGGAAAAAGAAACATTATTACCCACAAATATCAATTTTTAGACATATTCGTGGGAAAATATGGCAAAAATATTCAAAATATCGGAAGGTACCGTTATATGGGGCCTATACCAATGCACATATACATACAATATTTCGCCACACGAACTTGGACCCATTATGACCCACAAATACCAAATTTCAGTCAAATCCGTGAAAAAATGTGGCAAAATAATCAAAATACCGAATATCGGGAGGTACCGTTATATGGGGACTATACAAAAACGTGGACCGATATATCATATTTTCAATACCAACCATCCTAGACACTGACAGGGAGACGGACATCGTTAAATCGATTTTATGCTGATTATGAATATATATACTTTAGGGATATTACAAACGGAATGACAAAGTTAATATGGAGGGTATAAAAATGTAAAAAGTATGACGTTTGACTTTATTGCAGTTTTTTTTTATCCCGCCCTGTATATATGGGGCCTATATCGAAAATAATTTGACAAATTTATTTTTCTTTTCAATTCTGTTACTCATTCCAAATTTCATTATGATTGGGGATACATATTGTGTTTGGTGCACCAAATACGTGAAATCGTCCGAAAATGTATATGGGAGCTATATACAAATCTGGACCGATTTCAATATAATTTGACAAATTTATTGTTGTTCCCAAGTCTGTTACTTATTCTAAATTTCATTAAAATTGGGAATATATAGCGTGTTTGGTGCAATAAATACATGAAATCGGCAGAAAAAAATTATATGGAAGCTATATCCAAATCTGCACCGATTTCAATATAATTTGACAAATTAATGTTTGTTCCCAATTCCATTACTCATTCCAAATTTCATTAAAATTGTGGATACATTTCGTGTTTCGTGCACCAAATACATGAAATCGGGCGAAAATATATTCAAATCTGCACCGATTTCAATGTTATTTGGCAAACTTATTTTTGTTCCAAATTCCGTTACGCATTCCAAATTTCGAGACTGTATCTGTAATCTAACCATACATTTGTGCATATAAAAAATAAATTATTTGGAGGTACCTCCAGATTCTGATTCTATATCTCCAGTTCCAAATGGAATTTCGAAAAATTTTTATAACCTATTTTACTTTCAGGTAATGCTGTAGTATACTTGGAAATTTTTAGGAAAATCTGTGCAGCGGATAAACAAGTTAAAAAGGAGTTAGTTTGGCCGGGCCGAACTTTGAATACCCTCCACCATTTGGAACAAAATTTGGAAATTTTCAAAAAATAAAATCCTTAAAAACTTCAAATACGACATCTCAAACAATTTCGGTGGGTATTGTACTTAAAATCGTTAAAATACCGAATATAGGGAGGTACTGATATATAGGGCCTATACGAAGACTTGGACCTGCATAGACAATTTTCTGTCACAGACTGTAGTTCCCATTACGAATTCTAAATATGTAATTTGAAACAATTCTGGTGAATAATAAAGCTAAAATCATCAAAATACCGAATATTGGGAGGTACCGTTTTATGGATACTATACGAAGACGTGGACCTGCACAGACAATTTTCTGTCTTAGGCTGTAGTATCCATTTCGAACTTCAAATACTAAATTTGAAACAATTCCGGTGAATAATGTCGCTAAAATTATCAAAATACAGAATATCGGGAGGTACCATTATATGGGGGCTATACGAAGACGTGGACCTGCACTGACAATTTTCTGTCTTAGGCTGTAGTATCCATTTCGAACTTCAAATATCAAATTTAAAACAATTCCGGTGTAATAATGTAATAATGTCTCTAAAATCATCAAAATGTCGAATTTAGGAAGGTGCCATTATATGGTGGCTATATGGAAACGTGGACCTACATGGCCCATTTACGAATTTGACCGAATTTGACTATTGACTACAACAGACAGATGGACGGACAGACAGACATACAGACGGACATCGCTAAATCGGCTTAGAATTTTACGCTTATAAACAATATATATACTTTGTTGGGTCTGACATGAGTATTTCGAGGAGTTACAAACGGAATGACAAAGTTTATATATCATGCATAGTATAATAAACATATAAACATTTTCCTCAGAAGACATGGCTTTAGACATGTTCCTTTCCTCCGCTCAGTAAATTTAAACTTACTTTAGTTGACAAAGGCAATAAAAAAATTATTCCAATAAAATTGCGTTAACGATGCCATGTTATTCATCACTCATAAAACAAACTATTAAATAACCTCATAAATTTCCAAACTTGTTTTCATATACTTTGCGCTCTTTTTGCTGCAACAACACTCTCCGAGAAAACAACTTGACTCAAACATGAAAATCTATACTCGGATGTGTGTGTGTGTCGATGTGTGTATGCATTTAAGTCTGGATATGCTCGTTGTCATCTTCATCATCAGCCATTTTGTATGGAGTAACTGTCAGAAACAAACAAACAAAAAATATGAAGACAAAGTTTTCCTCTTCACACTGGATGTCTCGATGCATATCTCGCTTTATTTTTTCTGGAAAAAACAATAACAAATATATATGAAAAAAAAAATACAAAAACACACTGAGATCTGCAAGAGATTCATGTCTTACTTTGCACGTTCGTTTCGCCTAGGATTCACACATTCTGAAACCATTACTTATTGTGACATCCAACAAGGCAACATAAACTTCTGGAACTGTATTAAATATGAGTATACATAGATATTTATGTTTTTTTTTTTTTTTTTGCTCTACATTAAGGCATGTTGCGGCAAGAGTTCATTTAAAATATAAAGTTATTACTTTCATTTTAAAATAGATTCTGCAGCGAACATATTAATATTAAGAAATAGAATAACAATACGATTGAAAATAAATATTTGAAAAATGTTGTTGCAAAATGGTCTGGCTTTATCCCTTTATTGTTGTTTTTATAAAAACAACGTTTGTTTATTAGTGCAGAACGATGGTAATGTTTACCAGGGGGTAAGGCAGGGAATACCTAGGTTTCGGAAAGAGCCACCAATCCTCATCAGTTCCCTTGTTTTTGTCTGGGATATTCTCCCCAGAAGTTATTTTAAAAATAACTTCTATGACAAAAACATTTTTTTACCCAAGTGACGAGATCGTAAGCTCAATAGAAGAGGAACCAAAGAATTAAATAAAACTAAAATTCTCTTGGAAAGTCTTCTAAATCTTACAACCGCACTTATAAACATTTACATCTTTCTCCACTTGTTATGCTTTCGTTCAGCCTGAACGAAGTAGCATAACCATGTAAGTTGGTTTTGTCTGTTACAACAAAAAACCCCTTCGTCGACCGTGCCTTGTAAGATGTAAGATTTAGAAGACTTTCCAAGAGAATTTTAGTTTTATTTAATTCTTTGGTTCCTCTTCTATTGAGCTTACGATCTCGTCACTTGGGTAAAAAAATGTTTTTGTCACAGAAGTTATTTTTAAAATAACTTCTGGGGAGAATATCCCAGACAAAAACAAGGGAACTGATGAGGATTGGTGGCTCTTTCCGAAACCTAGGTATTCCCTGCCTTACCCCCTGGTAAACATTACCATCGTTCTCCACTAATAAACAAACGTTGTTTTTATAAAAACAACAATAAAGGGATAAAGCCAGACCATTTTGCAACAACAAAATACTACGGTATCCCGAACAAACAAGCCACACTGTTCTATTTGAAAAATGGGCACTTATTGTAATAGTTTGGCGAATAATTACAAATTATTGAAAATTCAAATTATTGAGAATTTATATTAAGTTATGAGGATTCATTCATTCTGTAAAAATACAGTTTCATTGGTTTTCAGTAAAAATAGTTAAGCTGGAGCTTTTTTATAGTATTTTAATATTTGATGTAACTAATTACGAACAAGTAAAAAGCAGTAAGTTCGGCCGGGCCGAACTTTGAATACCCTCCACAATTTGGAACGAATTAGAAAATTTTCAAAAAAATAAAATCCATTAATTTTTTTTAAATCTTTACAATGTCTAATATAGGAAGGAGCCGATATATGGGGGTATATATGACATATGTGGACCTATTAAGACAAATGTATGTCTGGGTGTAAAGTACTCACAAGGAACTCCTTGTGTGGATTTTCAGATAATTCCATTGGAAAAAGTGGCTAAAATCAACAAACTACTGAATATCGGAGGGTACCGTTATATGTGGGCTATACGATATCGTGGACCGATATAGCCCATCTTTGACCTGCCTGTAGACAAAAGAGGGATCTGCCGAAAATTTTAGCTTCCTATCTTAATTCGTTTAGACTGTAGCGTGATTACAACAGACGGACAGACGGACGGACAGGTCTAAATCGTTTTAGAATTTTACGCTGATCAAGAATATATATACTTTGTTGGGTCTAAAATGATTATTTCCTCCATACTATGTATGGTGGAGGGTATAAAAATAAGGTATGAATTCAGATGAGGGGCTAATATAGGGATTGGGAAATTTTAGTAAATTTTAGCGTTGCGATTCAAATTGATACTACAAATCGCACTCCATGCCAACCTCTTCGTCCCTTTGTACGGGAACAAATGCAAATCAATGCGAATAATCCGTTGTAAAGTGGACCGAGCCATGCCCAACTTATGAGAACGGCGTTTTTGGGATGTTCTTGGGGACCTCTCAACACTGGCTCGTACGGCAGCGATATTCTCGCCCGATCGCCTTGGTCGACTTTTATATGGCCTCTTCGGATTAGAAAGAGCCTCACCAGTCGAAAATTTTTCGTATAAACGTTAACATTTTTTTAATGTTTTAAAAGCACGTTGAGTTTTCACAATTGACTTCTTGTAAATTTCAACTATTTCAGAGCGCTCGCGTGGCGTGTATTGGTTCATGGTAAAAATCTGCTTGGACTGACGCTTCAAACGCGGTATGTCATTAAGCGATGTGACATCTCTGTCAAAAGTTATGGTGTTGCCAGATGGGTCCGTCGAATATGGGAAACCCTGTAAGGTCGGCTAGTAAGCTCATCTGACAACTAAGTTTATTGTCAAAAACCATAATTGTGATTTGAAAATTAAAAAAAGATTCAAATAACAATAGTGAAAAAAATTATAGTCAAAAGTAGTATTCTTGACCGACCTGTTATAGGCCTTGTTCCATTGCATATATACGCTTATGTTCAATAAGTTCGCCCAAGCGGAGTTTTCCGGACCATCCACCAAATTGACGGATTTTGCATATTAAACAAGTTGAAAAGCTTTAGGTTCGGCCGGGCCAATCCTTCAATACCCTCCACCATGTGTAGCGAATTTGGCAATTTTCAAAAAAAAAAAAAAAAAAATACGTTAAAAAATTTGTTAAAATCTTAAAATACCGAGTGTAGCCGTTATGATAGGGTGTATACGACGACGTGGACCTCCAAAGGCAACCTCTACCATAAGTCATTACAATATTCAAATGGGAAACTTAAAAAAATCGGTGAATAATGTAGCTAAAATCATCAAATTACCGAGTATAGGGAGATACCGTTATATGGGGGCTATAAGAAGACGTGGACCTGCACAGACAATTTTCTGTCATAGGCTGTAGTATCCATTACGAACTTCAAAAACCAAATTTGAAACAATTCCGGTCACAAATCTCAATAAAATCATCAAAATACCGAATATAGGGAGGTACCGTTATATGGGGGCTATACGAAGACGTGGACCTGCACAGACAATTTTCTGTCATAGGCCGTAGCATCCATTACGAACATGAAATACCAGATTGGAAACATTTCCGGTGAATAATGTTGCTGAAGTCATCAAAATACCGAATATCGTGAGCTATCGTAATATGAGGGCTATACGAAGACGTGGACCTGCATACAAAAAATTTTGTCATAGAGTGTAGCACCCATTACGAACTTCAAATACGAAATTTGAAATAATTCCGGTGAATAATGTTGCCGAAATCATGAAAATACCGAATGACGGCAGGTACCATTCTGTGGGGCTATACGAAAACAACATGGGCCATTTACGAACTTAACCTGCCTGCTGGTAAGCTATGCATATATGCAAAATGTTATCCTTCTATCTCAATTTATTCGTAATATAGCGCGATTACAATAGACAGACGGTCAGACAGAATATACAGGGTGAGATAAAAAAACTGGAACAAAGTCAAACGCCATAATTTTTACATTTTTTTTTAATTCTATTGAATGGAAGCAAAACATTTCGGAAATAGCATCAAATTTTACAATAAGTTTAGATTTGTTCGAATTGGTCA